TTCTTGCTCCAGAAGTTAGGAGACCCAACTGCAGCGGTCCTGGATTGAAAATCTGCCCTTCAGCATCTGCAGCTACCCCCACTCTTCCCCTGCGAAGCCATCACCATTTACTCTTACTAATGACTGGCTAGTGCTGTTCCTTTTGCTTTCCAGTGCATATTTACTGAAATAACTATTCTAATTTTCTCTCCCTCATTCCACTCCATTCTTTCATTTACTGTCACTCGTGTCCAATTCTTCCTCTTTTTCTCTGTCGTCTTAGCTCAACTTGTACTCACATACATTTGGAAAGAGAATGTGTGTGGCACCTCTTTGCCTAAAGACTGTTCTCTTATGCCAGTGCCCAAACAGGGTTGAAACAAAAGGGTGTCTAGTGTGGTGGGTTCTTTCTTTCCCTTTCCCTTTGATACAGCTTTACACAGCACTGTGTGAGGTTAAAGTGTTCAACACAGTGACTTGACTTGCATATATTGTGTAATGATCGCCACAGAAAGTTTAGTTAACACCCATCATCTCATGTAGATACCCCCCCCATTTTTTTTTTCCCTTGTGAAAAAAAGGAGCTCCTCTCTTAGCAACTTTCAGATGTCCCATCTAGTGGTGTGAACTCTATCCATCATGTCGTACATGACCTGTCCAAGACATATTTATCTTAAAACTGGAAGTTTGTACCTTTTTAAAAAAAAGTTCATTTATTTATTTGGAGAGAGAGGATATGCAGAGGTGGGGAGGGACAGAGAGAGAGAGAGAGAGAGAGAGAGAGAGAATCCAAAGCAGGCTCTGCACCAGTAACACGGAGCCCAATACCAGGCTTAAACTCAGAAACCATGAGATCATGACCTGCACCTAAACCAAGAGCTGGATGCTTAACTGACTGTGCCACCCAGACACCCCGAAGTTCGTACCTTTTGACCTCCTTCTTTCCCCTAGTTCCTCTCTCCCCCACTCGACGCATCTGACAGCCACAAATCATACCCCTTTTTCTATGAGTATGGGTTCTTTTTAGGTTTCACTTGTATCGGGTATCATAGAGTATCTATCTTTCTCTGTCTTATTGCATTTAACATAGTGCCCTCAAGGTCCATTTATGTTTTTCCACATGGAAAGATTTCCTTCTCTTTTATGGCTGAATAGTATTCATATATTTTATATACATATGATATATATGTGTGTGTGTGTGTGTGTGTGTGTGTGTGTGTGATATATACATGTGAGATATATATATATATGAGATATATATGAATTATATATTATACATATATGAGGTATATGAGATACCTCCTATATATTTTTATATATACTAGATAAAAGAGTGGTATATATAGCACATTTTCTTTATGTACTCATCCTTCAGTGGACACATAAGTCGTTTCCATGTCTTGGCTGTCATAAGTAATGCTACAGTGACTGTGGGGGTGCCACTAACTCTTCAGCATAGGGATTTGGTTTCCTTCAGCTCTAAACCCAGAAGTAGAATTGCCGGGCCATGTGGTAGTTCACTTTTAGCTCCTTGAGAAATAGTGGTTCTTAACTGGGGGAGATTTTGCCCCCAGGGACACCCAGCAAAGTCCATAGAAACTTTGGTTGTCACAACCAGGGCTGGGGGGCCACTAGCATCTATAGTGGGTGGACAAGGGAGATCACGAATGCACAGGGCAGCCCCCACGACAAAGAATCCTCTAGCCCAAATGTCAATAGTGCTGAGGTTTTACAACCCTGGTCTCATGGACAGAAAGATGCTGACCAGTATTTCCAATTATACCCTCCAAATTGTGAGTCGGGCAATCTTTGGCAGGTTATAAAAATTTCTTACATCTACGTTTGCTTTTTCTGTAAAAATCGTAGGCCTAACCAGAATTAAATTCCTTGTGAACAGGGTCTTACAAAGGACCAGTTCTATCCTCCAGCGATGGGGAAGCAGCAGTTTCAGGAGTGATTCTGATGCCCAGTTTGGGGGGAGGGGGGCTGTGGGTGAGCAGCTCTCTTATTTCCTGGCCTGCTTCTCCACAGGGGCACCAAGCAGTGAATTCTCACATAACAGTGTCTGCAGCAGAGAGAGAGAGAGAATATTCTGCTTTTATCTGGAGGAAAGTCATTTCTGGACTCCTCTTTCACTCTCCTCTGGAGTCTCCTTGACCAGAATCTGGTCACATGTTCTTTCGTAGGCCCAACACTGGCCCAGGTGAATGGGGTTCCCATGACAGCCTTAGACCCTCCTGCTAAGCGCACGGCTGGTGATGCCAACCCAGCCCTCCCACAGTTACCTACTGTCTCCCTGGAATGGTAAGGAATGATCCCCATGATGAATGCAAAACCCCTTTTATTCAAAGTGATTCTTTCGTAAAAAACCATCCACCCTGGTTGGTGTTCTTGCCCTTTGGGCTGAAGAAACAGATTCTCAGATTCCCTCCAGGATTGGAAATTAATTTCAAGAGAGCGTATGAATTGGACAGGAACCTCGATGTTGTCGGGAAACAGGCAATGACTCTGTCTCCTCCTCTCCGTGTCTGTCTGTCTGTCTGCCTGCCTGTTTCTGTCTCGCTTGTATCTGCCCTATATTGATTTCACTTCTAATCACCCTACTGATGAATTTAGCTCGCATGACGTTTACCTTGGTTGTGGGTTTGACTCGTGACCGTGAAGTCTAAATATGTTTCCATCACAAACTGCCCTCTTTCAACATTCTGGATGATTTCTGTCTCCACGATCATTCCTTTGTCATGATCACAGTGGATTTCTCCTGGCCTCACCAGTCTTCAGTTTCTCCATATTCTGTGGGTTCCAGGTTTCCTCAAAACCTCCTGTAGCTAGAGAGACCCTAACAGTCTCCATGCCTATTTCCGTCATATGTTAGACAGCGAAACATAGACGAGGTTTAGAAACATAGAGGTTTAGAAGAGAGGCAAAGGGAAGGGACCAGATGGCTCACAGAGGGTCAGTCTCCTGCCAGTGCTCCGTGCTGGCCTTCATCCCCTTCCCCCGCCACTCTCTCCCCCATGGGCCTGTCCTTCCCCACTTCCAGCTTGCCCCCCACCCAGGCTTGGGTTTACATAGTGGGAGACTTGGGCAGGAGCAGAGACACTGGGCTATGTCTTCTTTGCCGTCTTCCAGCCTAGGCTGCAGCCCTGTCAGGCTGCCCTTCCCCAGGCTCTGCCTCACCCAGCCCCCATAACCCCATTCTTCTCTCTCTCTCTGAAAGGCTGAAGACAGTTACAGGTTTGGATTAAAAGGCACATGGGGATTTGTTTGGATTTAAAGGCCCGTGAGGGGATTTGTTAGCTTGGATTCCATGTTAAATCACAGTGAAGGCAACGACTGATCCCTTCCTACCTACATGAGAGCCCTTTGGGGCCGAGGCAAGAGGGTGAGCTGGTCAGTGGTAGTGGAGGGACGTGGCAGGGCCTTTGCTGCTTTAAGAACATTTTGGTGGGAGTGATTAGTGGCTTCAATCAGCTTGTCTTATGGGGCTCAGTTCTCTGAGAAAACACTGAAGGCTCCAGGGAAACTTATGGTCAGAGTACGAGCTGCATTTTTATCCTGACCGAAGCTGGTCATGGACCTTGGAAATGGGGACTTTTTCCTCTTGGGAAAAATATGCCTTTGAGTGTTCACTGTCACTGTCTGGGTCAGGTCCAGTGAGTCACCTCGAATCCAGCTCGATTCCCTCCTCTTTGCTTCTTCTGGAAAGAGGCCGGCGTGGTAGGGAATTCTGGATGTTCGTCCACCTAGTGGACATAAAAGGTTAGAGTGCTGACGAGAAAGCGGGAGGCAGAAAGTGAAACTGTGGCAGTTGGAGGTGACGCACCAGCCACGTCAGCGCACGCGGACACGTTTCACGTGGACTCCGTCCTACTGTACTTGGAGAAGTGACGGAACAAAAGTAAAGCTCACCTGTGCTTTTCACGCGCAAAATACGGCACTGGCATTTTTCTGAAATGGGGAGGTACAGGGACAGTTCGTGGCCTGGAAAGAACGACCTGCCTCGTCCGTGGAGTCCTGTCTTGCGTGGATGATGAGGCTTCAAACGTGTCACGACTAGGGTAGGGCAGGAAGGAGCAGCTGGGAGCAGCAGAGGGGGAAGTGAAAGAACGCAGCCACGTACCGTCCTCTTCGTGTGTCGTGCTTTCTAAGAAATACCGACGTCGCCATATTAAAGTTAGGAGGTTTGGACTGTAGGCCTCCTTCCGGCCGTTCAGGGTCAGGCTGCTTTTTCCTGCAGGGTGACTGAGGACTCGGTCCCAGGGCTCACGGACCACCCTGTGGCTCTATTGTCAGAGGTGACCTGAGGTCGTCCAGTCGTCCGTGTCCATGAGGAGCCCCGTCCAGCCAGGCGGCAGCGGGCACAGTCCCCAGCGGCCTTCCCAGGTCGGGCGTGCTGGTTGGACGGCCCCTTCTAGGCCCGCACACCCCTCTCAGTGCTCAGAGCCCCTTCCTTGCCCCGACCCGCGGGAGCGGGTTCCTGCCAGGCCCTTCCTTGCTGACAGGTTACGGTGTGGCTGTGGCCGGGATATGCCTATCGGCTACTACAGTCCTGGCTGCTTCAATAGGCCAAAAATTCAATGTTGGCAGTTTGCGCTGACATTTGAGCTGGGCCAGGTCTTAAATGAAACGAATTGGCCAATCTTTCTTCTACGGGACATAAAAATTCAACAGAGTTGTGCATCTGTGATTTCTCACTCCGGTTCTGTTCGTTCCTTGGGTTTCTCGCATTAGTGGACAACTCTGTGGTCGGCTGATGGCCAAGCCCTTGGCTTCCTTCACTCCCCTCCCCCGTCGCCCCCTCCCCCCTTCCCCTTCCTCCCCTCCCTTCTTCTCCATCATGGCCCCCACCAATGACCTCGGCCGCCTTACTTTGAAATCCCTCCCTGTTCATCCCTCTTGAACTTTAACATCAAAATATTCTCAACGTGCTCCGATTGTACTGTGAGAGACCTTTCAGTTTTTCTCTCTGTTTACAGCCCTAACCCTTCCTGACATCCTCTCTTGTGTCTGCTTCCTAGACGAGGAATCTCACCGTGGACGGGCACTTCGGCGCGTGGTCTCCGTGGACGCCCTGCACGCACACCGATGGCAGCGCCGTGGGATCCTGTCTGTGTCGCACCCGCTCCTGCGACAGCCCGGCCCCCCAGTGCGGAGGCTGGGAGTGCGAGGGCCCCCGCATGGAGATCGCCAACTGCTCCAGGTGTGTCCCTCCGGACACTGGTGCCCTCCCCCGTGTGCGAGCGGACCGTAGAGCAGGGGGGACGTCGTCTTTGGTGTGCATCTCCCTTTTTTGGGAGGGAGGTGGCAAGGGACAGGTGCACTTACGTGCAACTTAAAAGTTACGTGATCTACTGAAGGAGGTGTGGTTTTATTTTTTTACTTATTTTATTTATTTCTTTTTTATTTTGTTAATGTTTATTTTTGAGAGACGGAGGGTGAATGGGGGAGGGGCAAGGAAGACCCGGAATCGGAAGCAGGCTCCAGGCTCCGAGCTGTCAGCACAGAGCCCGATGCGGGGCTCGAACCCAGGAACCGTGAGATCGTGACCTGAGCCGAGGTTGAACGCTTAACTGATCCACCCGAGCGCCCCTGGGAGGAGATTTTAAACTATAAGTGAGATTGTAAATCTAAACGTGTTTAATGTGTTCATCATTAGATTAGGAAACATATTTGCAGTGTGCACAATGTTATTGTCTTGTTTGAGGGAAACGTCCATGGCAATCAAAGTCCTTTTCTGGAACACGTAGGCCAATAGCCCCTACCGGTAGAACACGATACATTCGTTGTGAACTGGCCTAATCCAGGCGGCTATGCTCGGGCCTCCGTTTCCTTTGCCAGCATCAGGGACCCCAGTGGCTGGGGGCACTCGAGTGCCATAGGCCCTCCACCCTGCCCTGGCCATTAGGTGTCTCCTGAGGATGAAAGCAAGTCTGAAGTCAGATTTGGCCACACCCAGAAAACTGTGACACAGCCAGTCCTTGCAAATGATGGAGTCGCAGCTCCCTGTCCCTCAGGCACGCTGACATGGACACACGCGGAGGTTCTCATGAAGCAGATGTGATGCTTCTGGCGACGTTTAGTCGGGCCGGAGAAATGCAGCCTCTGCTATCAAGGCAGGAGCTACAGGCAAGAGAGCCCCCGGCCTCGCTCCCAGGCCGTGCGAGGACAGAGGTGCATACACAGCGTCAGCTCGCCCAATCCTGACCTCACTTCCCGCATCAAATGCAAATTATCCCCAGTAGCCCACGTACTAAGCGTCCCCTCGTGCAGATGCGGGAAACGACATGTGCTGTTTTGCAGCAGCCTCCTCCGAGGTGTGAGCACAAGGGGGACGGTTCTGGTAGTTTCGGAGGCTGCCCGTGGGGTCGATATTCCTGGAGCTGGAAAGGAAGATCTGGGGTAGCAGCCAGAGCTCACGTGCCCACGCGTGTGCATGGCACGTTCACCGTATGTATGTCTTTGGACAGTTCGAGTTTCCTGAAGCAGCGGTCTTCATGAGCAGCCGCTCATCAGCCCCCCTCAAATAACGTTGATACACTAGATCGCCCCTCAAATACTCATAGATCGGCATCTAATTGTTTTTCATCAAAAGTTTTAGGACTCGTGGGGCGCTTGGGTGGCTCAGGCGGTTGAGCATCCAACGCTTGATTGCGGCTCAGGTCCATGATCACGTTCGTGAGATCGAGCCCCGTCCGCATCTGGCTCTGTGCTGACAGTGTGGAGTCTGCTTGGGATTCTTCCCCTCTCTCTGCTCCTCTCTCCTTCTCTCGCAAAATACATAAATATTTAAAAAGTTTTAGTAGTTGCAAAGATGTGATTTCTGTTACGTCCCTGTTTAAATGTGTTATGGGCTCTAAACGCTTTAGTGATTTGATAGCCACCTGCCCCTTTAAGAAATTGATGAACAGGCTCTAATTTAACATTCAGAGAATTTACGGTTTTCCTTCTTAAATTTCCTATTTTTATTCTCTTTCCCTTATAGAATCGTATCCTAATACATTACGTTTTTATGTTGAAAAGTCTTACACCGGTCACCATATCATGCTTCTCTGCAACTACCAGAATAACAAATTATATGCACGGAATTCAGAAACAAAATTTATATTTCTGATAACCATAGGCTTTATGATGAAATATTTTGAATATATGTTTTGAAAATTGCCATACGATGAATCTAAAATACATGAATATTACACATTTTGACAAATATTTTTTTCGCACTTAAAATGTGAGATCTCACTGGAAATTCTTACCTTCAGGCAATTTTTTTAAAACTCCCACCTACTTTTCCTCTTTAGGCACGAGTGCAATTTCTTGCCCGATTTGGGGAGGGCTTAGCATCGATTCCATTCTTACATTTTTATTTTTCTGTCTACAAGTACTGACAGGTATGCCTCCTGTAAGTAGATGGAAATATAAGATCATAGCATTTCCACGCAGTTCTCTGGATTCTTTCGAAGTTACCTGCCGAAAGCATGGTGATCTCATGCCAAAGATTGTTGTTATTGCCCTTTATCAGTTGATAACCTGTTTATGTTGGCCTTCAATTTTGTTCAAAGCGAAACATAGCCAAGCACCTAACCTGCAGACCCCCATTTTTGCTTACTCACTACTGTCCGGTACTTCCTCGGTGTGTGCAGAGTGCATCAGAAAGCCTTTAAGAAGGCTGACCACAGGCTTCCAATTAAACCTGTTATTCTTTATTTATAGGCACCTTGTTTCACTCAGTGGAAGTGTTGGGAAATTCAAAATATTGCTAGTTCAGTACATTTTGCAAGCATGTCTTTGATTACACGCTGTTATCACATCACATCATTTAAATATTTTTTTTCTTAACACCTCGGAGCTACAGATTGAGGTCATTCAACGTATGAAATGAAAGCCACGATATAAAGGAATTAGCTAAGCCAGACTTTCAAAGCAGGGCCGAGTCAGAAGGACAATGGATCTGGAAAATAGGGTTTCATTTTAAAATTAAAGTAAACGTTTGAATGTGCATCCTCATGACACCATGTCGCTTCTGAATTCTAATTCTTAGGGAAGCAGAGAGGGAGCCGTGGAGAGAGGCAGGAGAGAGAGAAACAAAACTAGCCATTAGGAAGGCAGAAGGTCCAGGGAAGGTCTGGATCCTTGACAGGAGTTTGTCATCTAAATGAAATAAGTTTCTACAGGCTTCCATTTTTCTTACCTATACCTTCCTTTATGGAACTTTTTCTCTAAGAGCAAACACAGCCTGTGCCTGACCTGGGTTGGTCAGGACACAGAGACGCGTGTGCAGGATGGAGACTGGGGAATGTCCCAAGCGCCTACCCCTGTGAGGGCAGGCAGGAAGGAAGCGTGGGCCAAGGGAGGACGGCTGTGGGCTGCAGCCCTGAAAAAGGACTCAGCTGAATGCATGGGGAGCCCCGTAGCTGGGACAGCCCTTGATGGTGGTTAGATCCTCTCAGCTGCAGTTCTGAGCCCCTAGCACCCTGAGCAGCTGGAGAGGCTAGGGCCGCAGTCCGGTGGCGGGGGGGGGGGGCAGCTTTGACAGTAGCTGGGGGATGGAAGAAGCCAAGTCCTTGCCAGACAGCTCTGTTCTGCTCTCTAGTCGACCTGAGCCCAGAACACCCCAACTCAGTTAACATCCCAGTACCAAATGACCAGGAGAACGATTTCATCAGTGATTCACTGGGTTGATTTCCTCTTTCCCCTGCCTATTAATTTGTTGTTGCCAGATTGTTTATTTCACTGTAGTCAGTTTGCTCCCTTCCCCTGCACCTTCAGTGCCATGACCACAGCAGCATCTTATGTTTTAAAACAGACATCAGGAAGGCCTCTCAAATCAGTCTCCAAGCTCCCTCCTCACTTGCTTGTTAATTTACGGTATTTCTAAGAAGTATTCTGTTGTTTCCACGAGGCTATGTGGAACGCGGAAACCTCTGGGCAAGTCCTCTACGCCGTCCCTGACACTGCATATGTGCGATCGCTGACTAGGAGAGCCCAGAGCGCGAGGGCGCTTCCTGCCCAAGAGGAGAAGCTGTTGGGGGAGGAAGGGAGAGGTGCAAGGGTGCGTTCTGCCCTCCGCTCCCCTTCTCGGGCGGCCCAGGTCACTCCACAAGGTTGGTAGGAGACTGCAGGGCTGCACAGATGAGATTATTTGTGTTGTTACGGAAAACAGAGGCGTGTCCACAAGGCATTACCCGGGGCGCTTTTTCCACCAAACTCAGGTGGTTTCCGTGGAGGCATGGCAGATGCTGTATAAAAGTTGCAGAGCTGTTACTGTTCGAAGATGATGATCAGTGATGGACATTCTTTTTTACACCGTTCAGTGGGAAGGAAAGGACCATCAAGTGCATGACCGCAGCTTGTTTGTGGCTACCTCTTTGGCATTGGTTGCAGTCGACATTCATCCTCTAAACAGACCTGTGATGTAATTAGCGGTGATTTTCAGCTTAGTAATTGAAGAACGGAACCCATCTTAGTGGCGCTTTCAGTGCACGAGTGGGTCGTTTTGGACTGATTTCACCCTCGAAATGGCTCATCAGCTGATCCATGCTTACTTGGTGCTGGTTAGGGGCTGTGTACCACAACGTGTGCTTCAGAGCAACACTGACCAGGACTGCAAAGCCCGGTGCACGTAGACGGTTGCTCTCATTTATTTCCTGACTCACTGTATTTCTGTTATTTATATCCACTTCCATTTACCCACTTCTCTGTATACCACACGCCCCCTGTATCGTAAGTAGAATATATCCCAAAATGTCATGTTTGTTAACAGGTTTAGGAAATGGAGAATTTCCAAACAATTTCGGAAGAAATGTTTCCTTCACTATGCTAACGTATGAAGAAACTTTGGAAGTAAAAAAATCCTTTTATTTATGTTAAAGTGGCCATTTTTGTATAGAATCCAATGAATTATTTGGATTTAAAAAAAAAATTGTGTAGGTAACAGGGTATGAGATTCTAATTATCTTTATGAGCAACCTGGAAGGATCTGTCTTTTTTTGTGATTACTTGGTTACGTTATCATAAAGCCAATTTGTTATAATATCATACAGTAAAGCATAACTGTCTATTTTATTTCTATCATGCAGACGTTGCAGAAAATAGAGAACTATGAAATATACCAAGGGTTTTCTCAGAGGAATTGTCACTTGAAATTATTTTAGAAATTATATATTCACATTATCGTTTATATCTTGAGCTTCAGTGGCCCAGGGGTGGACCCGCATGTTTTTAAAAGAATGTATAAAGTAAAAATAACAATTAATGTCAGTCGATTTTTTTCAGTGGAAGTGAAAGTCTGATGAGGATAACATATCTAGAGAAAGCATATGTGATTAGAGAAACATATTCCACATGCAGTAGAATATTCACATGGGAGTTTGGATTCTGGATTTAACAGACATTTTAACAAATATTTGAGGATTTAATAAATCCTTAAAAATGTTTTAATAAATCCTTAAAATTGCCTACAATTTGTTCTTTAATAGTAGGGACTAACTACTAAGGGAGATATTTAAATTACAAACATGCTGAGTACAGGCATTTCAAAGGAAAAGTACAATATTAAACAAAAAAGAAAAATTCCTCTAGCTGTCAGTGGCAATTAACTTTATAAACCGCTTTTATACAAGCTGTTTCTTTTCTTTTAATTTTATATTTTATATGCCTATCATATTATATATGTAATAACATAAATACAGTTATGTGCAATTTGCACTCCTTGTTTCTACTCTCTATATGTTTGTCAAATTGTAAGAAAATAGCCAAGAATATGAATTTAAAGTACACTTCCTTCAGGATTAAAAAAAAAAATTGTTATGTTTATTTATTTATTTTGAGGGAGAGAGAGTGTGTGTGTGTGCAAGCAGGAGAGAGGCAGAGAGAGAGGGAGAAAGAGAGAGAATCCCAAGCGGGCTCTATGCACTGTCAGTGCAGAACTCGACATGGGGCTCGATGTCATGAACCGTGAGATCATGACCTGAACCAAAATCAAGAGTCAGACACTTAATCGACCGAGCCACTCAGATGTTCCTGGCTTCCTTCATTTTTAATAAGGTTTGTTTTAAAGCTTTGGATATTACAGGGTTCTTTATCAATGCGAATGCTATCAAGAGAATTACTGATTTTCGTTATTAATAGATTTTAAAAGTAGGCATGATAGGTAGTTTTAGATGATATTTTGTTCAAATGTGCACTTGTTGCAGATTATAAATTGTATAGTATAAGTCAAAGAAGTATAAAACCTAGAGGTTCAGGAATTCATCTCTAATTGCTTTTCAATAAAATAAACTTATTTTTCATTAGTTTAACGTCTTCCTAACTAAAACTTTATTAGTAGTTTCTAATACAGCCCATTTTAAATTATTTATAGCACACTTTAAGCTTCACTCTCAAAAAAAAAAGAAAACCAAACCTTGACCCTGAAATCAGATACCAAGGAGAAGGTCTCCCAGGGACCCAGATTTCCCGGGCCCCAGCCCACCCAGTTGGGTCCTATGGCTCCCGTTCCCTTTCCCTTCCCGGCCGCAACCCAGCAGTCCACGGTGGGGGCGAGGGGGTGCGGACACGGGAAGTTAGTTGGAGGTGGGTGCACGCAGGGCTGGACTGCGCCAGTTCGACCCTGTGACCCCGCTGCTGCTTCCTCTCCCCAGGAACGGAGGCTGGACCCCCTGGACCTCGTGGTCTCCCTGCAGCACCACCTGTGGGATCGGCTTCCAGGTGCGCCAGCGATCCTGCAGCAACCCCACCCCCCGGCACGGGGGCCGGGTGTGCGTGGGACAGAACCGCGAGGAGAGGTAGGCACCGCTCTGCCCCCACACCGCCATCCTCACGCTGCCTGCCATTCCAGTGTGGCCCAACTCCCCTCGGCTTTAGTCGGGGACGTAGCTCAGCTTGTATGTGGCATCCCTTCCTGTTGAGCCCGATCGTCCTGTTCCTTTCCCGACGTCGTTTACTTTTGATCAAAGCCCCGTGTCGACCGCCTCACTACCACCCTGGTGCCTGCACAGTTGCCTGGCCGAGCAGTCCCCAAGGGAGCGGAGGTGTGGGGACAGCGGGCACCTCGGTGCTGGTCTCCCTGGGGACTCAGAAAGAGAGTCTGCTGGGGAAAATCCGTTCTTGTTAAAATCCAACTAGACCCGGTCTCCAAACCCGCAGTTCCAGGTAGGACCTAAGACGGCCCCAGGTCCGGATGGCAGTGGTCAGATGCAGTAGGGTTTTGCATCAGAACTAAGTCAAGCAGCCGGAGCGGGGTGAGGACGTCTTCAGGATCTGGGTACATTTATAACCTCATGCCCCTCTATTAACCGATCCTCTCAGGGAGGCGGCTCTATAGCCCAGAGCGGCATCCTTTTCCAGGGTGGACTCTAAGCCTCAGCTCCTCGGGGAGCTTTTCGTAGCAACAGACATTTGGCTTTGGCTTCATATAATCTACAGTTGTGATGGTTGGCTCTTTCTTGCATATTTAATGTACGTTCTAGTTCATGATTGTTGGGGAAAATCCAAGCAGGTGGATTTCACGTCAGTCGGGATTCCTATTCTGCCGCACTAACAGAAGGGTGTGGCATTGACCCCTGTGAAACAAAATGGCTTGCGATACCTTTAATGCAGTGAGGACTGTATCTGGCGATATGGGTTCGCTGTGAGCCTTTATAAAAATACTGCATGCAGTTATTTGCTATGCAATCGATATTTATGTAGACAAAACCAACAGGTTTGCTTGTACAGATAGTTCCCTGCGAGGCGTTTATTACCACCTCAAAACAACCTGGGAGAATCGTTCCTTTCTTTCGTCGCTGTGTGCCGAAATCACCAATTAAGTTTTCATCCCTTTTGACCCAGAGGAAAAGGAAAGATGATTTTCACAAAGCGAGGTTGGTTGTTTCTGAAGTAGTCCCGAGATAGTCTTATACAAACCTACCTTTTCCCATCCAGCACCAGTTGATAAGCGGGGGGACCGATTATGGGCGCGTTGTCTCCCTGCTATCTCTAACCTCTCAAGATTTAAAACTGGTTGGGAGTTTTAAAATGCCATACACCATCACATAATACAGCCCTTCCAGGCAATGTCACCTGTATCAGTGTGAAGCTGCCCCCCAGTCGTAGCACCCCTGCAAATCTTATTCCCGTTGGCACCTTTCCTAGGCTGAGCGCACAGGAAGGAAGCTGCCATTTAACTCTGTGGCTAACATGTATGTGTGTTCTGTATGCGTTTCGTGATTGTTGGTAAAGCTATGTTTTCAGGGAAGCCTGTGTTTGGGGGACTGCTGCTTAAAATGTTCCCTTTTTTACGAAAAAAAAAAATAACCTGCTCATTTGGGCAAAAGACATATTTGGTTCATGGAAGATTATTTGAATTTGCCTGGTCAGTATGTGGATGGTGAGAACAAGGACTCTGTAAAATTGAAGCTTCCCTGTTGAACAGCCCTTCTTAGGGGCTAATCAAGCCATCAAGAGGCTAATGAAATCTAGAAAAACGAGTACATACGATGTCTGTTTCTTGGTTTTCACCAGCAAACAGCTCTGAGATTTTTTGGTTGTTGTCTTAGGTGGGAGGCCTCTCCACCTGTGAGAACACCATCCCTTACACACATTTGAGAACTAAACTCAAAACTTGGGGAGACTCTGGTCTCCATGGAAGACACACGACTAGGCATGTACTGGGTTATACCGTTGCACCCTTCTGCTCTCAACACCATCGACCCTAAAGAACCCCTGGGTGGCCTCGAGTGAATATATTGATTCCCCCAGAAAAGTCCCTAAGTTAAGGCCAGGATTAGAGTTAATGACTTCATTGGATCAGAATGTCTAGGATGTGGATGGAAGCTTTATGGCAACATAAATCTCAAATATTCACATCAGTTTTTCTGAAGTACTGGGTAAAGAAAATAATCGACCCTATCTTTTACATGTACCTTGGAAGGTGTGGACACTGTTTCTCTTTTCTAAAATTTACTGGAAAATGATGTTCTTGAGTACCAAGAACCAAGTGGAAAGCACCAACAAGGATGAAGCAGTGGACCTCTACGTAAATACTATCAAAATGCGGGTGTCTTTTTCTGTATTAGTTTCCTCTTCCCGGGTAACCATAGTTCCAAAAACCGAGCGTGGCTTAAAACAACACACATTTATTCTTGCACAGTCTTACTGGGTCAGGAGTTTCAGTATAACTTACCTGGGTTCTCTGCTTAGCCAGAGCTGTGGTCTCATCTGGGCCCCGACTGGGGAAAGAGCTACTTGTACGCTCATGGGCTTGGTTGTCAGCATTTAGCCCTGTGTGGACTGTCAAATGGAGACCCTGTTCCTTGCCAAACGAGTTTTCCCAACACAGCCGCTGTCTTCCTCAAATCCAGCAAGGAAGAAAGTCTCCTGGCAGGATGAACAGGATGGTCTTACAAAGTGCGATTGCAAAGTGACATGCCATCATCTTGCCATATTCCGTTGGTTAGAAGTAAGTCATAGACCTTGTCTATACTCAAGAGGGGACATTACACAGGGCATGAATACCAGGAGGCAAGGATCGTTGGGGTCACCTTGGAGTATCTGCCACAGTCACTTATATGCCCCTCAGTCATCGTGGCCCTTCCATATGCAAAATGTATTTCACCAATTCCCAAGGTCCCTAAAAGTTTTATACCATTAAATCATCTCCGAATATTCCAGAACCTTATCGTTTAAGTCAGCCTCAAATATGAATGAGGCGCCCTGGCAGTTGTTCCTCTAAACTCAGAGACGAGATATCTGCGCCACCAGCCCACCCAACGTGTGATGGGGGGACAAGTGAAAGGTAGCAGCTATAGACATTTCTGTTCAAAAGGGAGGGAGAATGAAAGTGCAGAAGCATCACTGCTCCATAGAAATTCTGAAATCTAGCCAAACAAGTGTTGGGAGTTGCTCGATTAAGTTTCAAGGCCTGTGCATAATTCTGCACGGTTCTTGGCTTTGCCTTCTGGGCTCTCGTTGCTGCTTCCTGAATCATCTTTTCGTTTTCATGAAGGTTAGCATGTGCTTGCAGCTGGGGAGTTTTATCAACCTGTTTCCTGCCAGTAGAATTCTGGATTCCAGTATTCATTTCATTTGGACTTTTCTCTGTACGTTTCAGCGCAAGCTGGTATTTCTGCGGAAATATCCCTTATGGGTCTTCCGTGGATTTTTTTGAGGTTTACTCTCGTAAACAAATCTACACCCACAGATCGTTTTGAGATAGCCCTTCTCCAGCTGGGGATCCTCCTAATGGCTGAGGGACCACACCCTGGGGCCTGCTTATGATCGAGACCATCTGTGAGGCACACCCTTGCTCCTGACCGCCTCGGAGCATCGCCCGCGTAACTGAAACCACTCTGATCCTTTGGCCTTTCTGAGGTTTTAGCAGAAGGTTGTACCGTCACACGTTCGGATTTTCCCTCTCTGCCAACCATTCCTGACAGTGCTCAGAAGCTATTTCTTAATTTTAGCATTGGTTGTCATCGGGAGAGGCTCAGAGTTTCCAAAGTTATTCTGCCCTGGCCCTTCTTGTTTGTTATTCCTTCCCTCATTTTTTTTTTTTTTTTCATTCCTCATACATTTTGCCATAAGCAACAAGAAGAAACCAGGCAGCACCCCCAACACTTTGCCTGGACATTTCTTTGGCTGTCTAACTCACTTCACGCTGACGTGTTCCGCTTTCCATAGAAACCGCAGCGACAGCCTGGGTAGCTCTCTGCCTTGCCTCACAAGGTCCTCCCTCCCCCCGCTTTGCAACCACGGGCTCCTATTTTCTTTCCAACTTTGGTCGTGGTGAAATATAGTTAACATGAAATTTGCCATTTAGCCCTTTTTAACGTGTTCGATTCAGTGGCATTAATTGCATTTACCGTAACGTGTGACTAAAACGCTATTTCCAAAACGTTTTCGTCTTCCTAATACTGGAACCTTTAAGCAGTGACTCCCCCTTTTCCCCTCCTCTCAGCCCCCGGTAACCTCGAATCTATGTTCTTTCGCTATGAATTTGCCTCTTTGAGATATTTCGTGTAAGTAGAATCCTCTCCTATTTGCACCCTCGTGTCTGGCTGATTTCACTTAGCATCATGTTTTCAAGGTTCAGGCATGCTGGACCGTGTGTCAGACCTTCATTCCCCTCGGCAAGCTGAGTAACACTCGACCGTATGGCTGTATCCTAATGTGTTTATCTCTTTACCCATCAATTACCAGGTGGGTCATTTCCACCTTTTGGCTACTGTGAGTAATGCTGCAGTGAACGCTGGCGTGTGGGTATCTGTTCAAATCTCTGTTTCAGTTCTTTTGTGTATAACCTGGAAGTGGAGTTTTGGGGTCATACGGTACTTCTGTCTAGTTTTTTAAGGAGCTGTTTTCCATAGTGGCTTCACCACGTACATCCCCACCAGCAGAGTGTGAGGGTTCCAGGTTCTCCACATCATCGTCAGCACTTGTTACTTTCTTTTTTCTTTCTTTTTCTTTCGTGATGGCCGTCCTGGTAGGTATGAAGTAATTATTACCTCCTTGTGCTTTTGATTTGCATTTCCCTAAGGACTATGACGTTGACCATCTTCTCCTGTGCTTATTGGCCATTTGTCTACTCTTTTGGAAATGTCTCTTCAAGTTCTTTGTCCATTTGCTAATTGGGTTGGTTTTGTTGCTGCGTTTTAGTTCTATGTCCTGTTTTCCTTCTTTTTTTTAAAAAATTTTTTAGACGTTTATTTATTTTTGAGACAGAGAGAGACAGAGCATGAACTGGGGAGGGTCAGAGAGAGAGGGAGACACAGAATCTGAAACAGGCTCCAGGCTCTGAGCTGTCAGC